CAGTGTGGGCAGAACGTGTAGTGGCCAAGCAATATATACCATAAAGTCATAAACCCTAAATCCTTAACCTGGATCTGCTTCTTTTTAGCAGTGTGACAGTGCCCACGTGTCCTTCTATGATTGTCAACACAATTGCTTTACCCTAACCCCTAACCCCTAACCCCCCTAAACCCTAACCAGACCCTAAGCCCTAAACTCTAAATCCTAGACCCTAAACCCTAAACCCTAGATAAACCCTAACCCCTTACCCCCCTAAACCCTAACCAGACCCTAAACCATAAACCCTAAATCCTGGACCCTAAACCCTAAACCCTAAACCCTGAACCTGGAACCCCTTCCTGGAGTCCATATGTATATACCCTTATTGCAATGCTATGAGGCTTTTACCCTAAAAGGCTGCCTACCATGGGTTACATTCTTAATATCACCTGCATCTGGCCGGCCCCTTGGACGGATCTTAATATACCACCTGCATCCTGGCAGCCCGCTTGGGGCTCTCCAGAGCCTCTATATCGCTATACTTATGTCTTCACGTACAGAAAATGGAGACTGACATTCCCAAAACGTGGCAATGTGCGTTGACATAGAGAACAAACACGTAAAGCTTGCACTTGGCTGTTATGCTCTACCTCTCCAAACAGGTAAGCTTGGACTTGCCTGCTACTGCTCTACTCCTCCAATCAGGTAAGCTTACACTTGCCTGATATGTTCTACCCTTTCCCTCCCCAGCTATGACATAGATTGTCACCATAATTCCTTGCTCTCTGCTCTCTAATGTTGTTGAGCCGAAGATCTACATCATCCAAATGTGCTCACGTATATGCATTTATATACAATAAACCCGAAACCGGAAACTGGAAACCCGAAACCCGAAACCGGAAACTGGAAACCCGAAACCCGAAACCCGAAACCGGAAACCGGAAACCCGAAACCCGAAACCGGAAACCCGAAACCGGAAAGCCGAAAGCCGAAACCCGAAACCGGAAACCTGAAACCGGAAACCTGAAACCCGAACCGAAAACCCGAAACCGGAAACCGGAAACTGGAAACCCGAAACCGGAAACCCGAAACCGGAAACCGGAAACCGGTTCTTTCCTGGAGCCTACGTGTATACCACTGTTGGAGGCTATGACACTTTCGCACTAAGTATCTTACCTAGCATGTATGAGATTGTGAGCAATACCTGTATCTTGCGAGTCCCTCGGGGCTCTCCACCTCTATACTTCTTCTTTCACCTACAGAAAAAGGAGAATGAAACTCATCATATATCATGGCAATCGCAATTGACGTACAGAACAACAAACATGCAAGCTTGCACTTGCCTGCTATGCTACCCTGTCCCTCCAGGGCCTCCACACAGGCGGCACCTTCTCCCGCGTCAATGGGACCTTACACCTCTACTTTCTACGAAAGGATTCTGAGAATTTTTGACCGCCAAATTCTTATGCGTTCCGTCGAATGCCTCGTATTAAACGATAAAATGGATTGAATTTTTTTGAAAAAACAAATCAATGCATTAAATTGCATTTCCACCGTGGGCGTCTACGCTGAAGCAGCGAAGGAACCCAGGCCCGGTCCTTTACGCACCCAAGCCACCGTAGCCACGCACACGAAGTATGTCGATGCTGAGACATTACACCTCTTACCGTCTATGAAAGATACCGACTGCCAAGATTTCTCTCTCCCTCTCTCTCTCTCTCTCTCTCTCTCTCTCTCTCTCTCTCTCTCTAGCTGCAAAGAAAAAGGATTCGGAACTCGATTAAAAACTCAAATGTTAGAAACGGAAAAAGAAAAAAAACGGTTTCTTGACAACCAATGTGAAGGTGATCCCTGCTGATGTTGCACATTTGAAATCTTATTTCTTCTGTCGACTGGCACATATTAAATGATAAAATGCCCAAAAAATGGATTCAATTTTTTGAAAAAAACACAGATGAATGCATGTGTAGTGTGCACAGTCTTTGCCAGAGGAATGAATGTCCATGCTGAAGTAACGACGCACTCGCGAAGTAAGTGTTGTGTACAACTTGTGTTGCTACATGTGCTGTGCGATCAGCCGCACAACGTACCCGACAAATGTTGTACTGCCGAATATGATGACCACGCAGTCGATGATGTAAGGCGCCAGATTCCTTTCCCCAACCTCCCGCTGCATGTCCATCAGAAGAACACAAGCACACAAATGTGTTAGTGTGCGTGCCATCTCATGTTCGCCAAACAACCACTCAAAAGGAAAGACATGGGACCGGGAAAAACACACACACACACACACAAAAAAAAAAAAAAAGAAAAAGAAAAAAAAGAAAAAAGACACAGGACAAGCCGGTTCCCCCGACAGTAGATTCTGATCAGGAGGTTACACTTTACGGTTTCAGGTCCCGTTGTGCACGCATGAACTCTTTAACTGGCACCCTCAGACACATGAACCAAGTCTCTTAACCAGCACATCCCCGACGCGGTGTTCACAAGTGGAACGATACCGGTCGTGATATCCCCCCCACCCACCCCTGCAGATGTATCGAGTCTATCGACACATCCATCAGGAGGTTACACTTCAACATTCTGGAGGTTATACTTCAACATTCTGTGCAAATTGAGTCGGCTAATTCATCCAAAGAGTCCGACCACAATAAATCGCCTGTCCGCTCATGGTACCATCGAGAGTGTGGACAAGATAAGTCACCCCCCGGCAGCTCAGGACGTATATTCCGTCGAGGGCTGTATTGTAGTGATCAGACACCCATCAAGGGCCCACAAGGTTACACTCTCAAAATCTGACATACGAAAATCTGACATACAAAAATCTGACATACGAAAATCTGACATACGAAAATCTGACATACGAAAATCTGACAAGATTGTGTCGATTCCTACATTACCAGAGTGGACTGGGACCACTAGCCCGGTGGCTGTGCCAAAAATTTTACAAAGCATTTCAGTGTGACCCTTCAGTGTGACCCTGAGGCAAAAGTTGTTCAGCTCTTTTTTTTTTTTATTTTTAAAGGGGCCCACAGGGCTTCATATTATAACCTTGAACAATGCTTCAGCTCATTTTTCTGCACAACATAGTTTCTTTTCGGGTCGTTTTTTTTCTTTTTTTTTTTCTTTTTACAGGGACCTTCCCTGGCCCAGTGTGACCCTTCAGTGTGACCCTGAGGCAAAAGTTGTTCAGCTCATTTTTCCGCACAACATAGTTTCTTTTCGGTTGTTGTTGTGTGTTTTTTTTTTTT